AAAATGTGGCAATATTTGCATACCAAATGCATAAATGAACAAGACATCTAGGATTTAGTAGTGATATATATATTTATTATGTCCAGAACACTCAGTAGACCCCAAAACCTCTTGCCAAAGAAAATGTGCACGCTCCAAAAAATATGAGAACAGGCCTAGGTCTGGAAATCATATACGATTTATGCAGCAAATTTTAATATGACAAGCAACAAATGCTTTCCTATTTCTAAATTGTTAAAACCAGTTTGTACATCAAAGCCTTAAAAAACAGCTGGAACCATGATCCTATTCTACTGATATGGACAGAATTTTTTTAAAATGCTTACATTTGCAAAATAGGATGTCTAAAGTTTTTTACAAATTGTAATATAACTTTAGGCACCAGCCATTCATCTTTTGTGTTTGTGTGGAGCTTGAAGGGGAAGAGTTTTCCTTCAAAATTTTCCAATTTTAAAACAAATAAAATTAAAAAAAATTACGTTTTCAGTAACATACAGGAACAATATATTTTTCAATAGTTAAATGATCACCCCCCCCCCCCCCCCCCCCCCCCCCCCCATCCCCCCCCTTTTTCCCCCGAAGTTTGATCAGTAGTAGAAACAAACTATCATATATATTTTTTTACTTTGGAAAAAAAATAAAAAATTTACACTTCCCTTCTGAAACAAATATTTTGATTGTGCCTTCCCTTCTGAAACAAATATATATTTTGTTTTCACTTGCCTTCTTAAACAATTTTTCTCAACAAATTGAGAATTTGTCATATAAAAAAAGAAATCATGTTGTCCTCATTCAAATTCTTTTTTACTGCCAACTGAATTTGTTTTACCACACAACTTAAATTTTTGTATGCTCACCTAAAATAGACTTCCAAAAACCTCTTGGCAGATAGGATAAATCATGAAACACTGTTTATATTCGATTAAAATATGAATAAATATGAGATGCAACAACACGTGTTTTTATTAACCACACTATTTTTAGACTCAGTTGTCAATTTTGTCAATATCCGGATCTATTTTTAATGAAAGTCTGTCTATAATGACAGTAAAAAAAACTATGATCGATTTGGTAATGAACGATTGACTGTCAAACTGTCTCACAAGTTAACTCCAAAATATACATACATATATTACTTTTGTACAAGTTCAACTGCTTTCATGACCGCAGGTTATGTTTCCTAAATGTTTCAACTCGAAATGAAACACATCACAGCGATTGTTTTCGATTCCGCCATTTTGATACGTCACGAGATTCTTCTCCCAACATTCTTTGAAAAAACATTGTGTTTGACAGCGAATTTACGCCTGATACGAATATATGGAATGCATTTAGTATTTATTATACTATTTATGGATCAACTTGGTCAAGAAACCCGTTAGAACGTTATTTTTTCTGTTTGCATTATGACCGTCTAAAAATAGAAACTAATGTATCCTTAACACCTACACTGGTGTGCCAAAAGGATACATTCGGTATGAAAGGGTTAAAGTTTGACAGCATAATTCGCTACAGTTCTTGAGATTTCCATGATCAAAACTACATTTTTGCTGCAGGACATGTTAAATTAATTCCGGTCAGGCAAACGTCTCATGCAAGTAAAATTTTGGTCAGGGAAATAAATCCCGCGAAAAAAATAAAATTCAGGAGTGAAAGTGTTAACAAATCAGGTGGTTTTTTTATCGCTGAAATATGCTTTTTACGCTATTTATTGTTGTGTTTATAAACGTCATCTATTTATCTAAATAACTCGAGAAAGTCGATTTTAAATCGAGACAATGTCAACAATGGCTGCAGATGGAGTTGGACGCTGACAAAATATTATTATAATGATCATCGTGAGACGTGGAATTAACCGGCAAACACTTTTCCTTTACACAACGTTTGAAATAATTAAAATAACATGTGTCATGTTTTGTTTGATGATGGTATTTTTACGGAAAATACGCGATTCTGAATCTTTACAAAAAGACTTCTCCGCTTAAAATCTCCGTTTTGACGAAGTGATTTAACTCTTCCATAGTTGTACGCAAATTAATAGTTAAGTCTGCCTCGTATCTTGACTTACATCTAGAAACTGCAATGAGGGTCGGTTGAAAAAAGCAAACTTTATGACAAAAGAGATGATTTCAGCTTTCCAATTGTAAACTTTCCATTTTTTTAGAGGGTTGCTGCTCACAAGGAAGCTATTAAACCAAGAGTTCCAAGTGGTGAAGTTGAAATCATCCTTTCGTAAATTTTACGGACGCCATCACTAGTTGGTTGACCGTTAGGGAATATCCATTTCACAGATGATAGCGGATATGTTCCTAATGTCGTAACTACAATCCCGTCCCCTTTTCCCGAATGTGACCTACCAAATTAGACTTACTACTGGGTTTGTACTAACATGAGCAACACGACGAGGGCCACATGTAGAACAGGATCTGTTTACCCTTCCGGAGCACCTGAGATCACCCCGGTTTTTGGTGGGGTTCGTCTTGCTCAGTCTTTAATTTTCTATGTTGTGTTTTGTGTACTATTGGTTGCGTGTTTGTCTTTTTCTTTTTTTGCCATGGCGTCGTCAGTTTATTTTCGACTTATGAGTTTGAATTTTCCTTTGGTATCTTTCTCCCTTTTTTAAATGTATATTTTGCAGCAATAATCGTAAAAAAATACGAGTGAACAGTTGTTATAATGTGTACTTATCGATCTTTAATCAATGATCGCACGCCAACTCCAGGAAAAGTTTCAACACGTCGTCGTTTTACGAAATGACAACAAAAACACGCACCTTTCATTGAATTTAATTCGGGCAGTTGACGGTCGCGTTCAATTTTAATAATGTCGTAGCGACACACAATCCATTTCAATCCGGTAAAGAAAGTGTTAAAAGGCATTTAACCTTCGAAATCGTGTGAAAAAAAAAAACGATCTGGTTTAATCGCATGTTCAGCCGAGTTCTTTCACAATAAAACGAAAGTATTAAAACCTAGCCCCTTGCCATAACCAACAAACATGATGACCGGAAATCACACCTTGTTCGCCAATAAACAAGCTTTCAGTCAGAATAAATAACTGATGCGCTTAGATGACGTTTTCTCTTGAACAAAATGCTTTTTAAACATGAAAATACTTTTATGTATGACAAACCTTTTGCCATGGTTTTACACTCATTCACAGTTTGGGAAACTTTACATAAGACATGCAGAAAAAAGAAAAGAATTATAATACAAGGGAAAAAAAAAGAGTGGAAAAGAAAGAAACATGATACATAAAAGCAAACAAATACCCAAGAAGAGGTGGTTCTTTTCTATATGAAGACTTAAGCAAGAGTGTTGATGGGATGGGTCTACTTTTTTAAATGAATGAAAGGACATAAGATACGTAAACTACATGTATACAGCAATCCAACAAAAAAACAAAACAAAAGAGACTCAATAAATAAAACAGAATTGTGAAATTCGACAAGATGGGTCACTCAAATTATTATATCATAATAATTACCTTTACTCCATGCTTGTATGTAATAATCTTAATAAAATAATTTTCTCAGTCAGAAATCATGACGGTAAATCATCAATCCCATGATCTAAATTCAAGGTAAATATAGCAGTCGGTTTACATTGGTATTAAAAATGGCGGCTGAACATATGCACACATAAAATAATAGATTTTTGATGATTTATTTAATAACTAAGTTGTAACACAAAATTATATCAGACTGAGTACAACAACTTACCCTTTCGAGTCATTATTCCAAATTTTCAAAACATTACAAAACAATATATCCAAACACCAGGATTGAAAGAAACATGCGAGAGTCACTGACCGCATTTCGTTTCTGATACATTAGAGATAGTATAAAAAACCTATTCCGGAGTAACGAATAATTTCCGTAAAAATACTGACAAACTTGTGTAATTATAAATATTGTAATATTACAGATATCATTGTAAATATAAATAATATATTAATTTTGTATTTGTAAAGACTGTTTGTAACAGTAATTTGTTTATTCAGATATTTATACTAATGGTATTTATTGTTAATTTTACTTAATATTCTCCTTGGATATTAAGTAGTAAATTTAACAGGGATACTTGATGGAGTGCTGTACACCAAGTTTTATTGTTAAAACAGCAATATGTGCAATAAAGAATCAACTTGAGTGTTAAAAAAAGATTTCTGATGAACGCCAACGAGACAGTTACCAAACAACGCTTACATGTAAAAAAGTATTTCTGTAGAGGTTAACATAAGTTCTCTAAGAACACTGTGTTTGTTTATTCAAACCATTTCGATCAGATAAACTGAGGATGAACGCTTGTGAAATGTCAGCGATAGACGTTCGACATTGAAATTTTCAGGTACAGGTGCATATCATTTGTAATTGAAAACAAACAAAATACATGTAACAGAAAATAACGATAATTGAATTAGTCCCATAACCCGTGAAAATATCGCCAATCCAGCCTAAAGTCTTTGACGTTGCATTCAGAAATGGCGCAATGTATTCCCGCCATTTCAAATATCTCTTTTTTGTATACTTTTTTTGTTTTATTAAAAACAATGAATATTTCATTGAATTCTCATCGAACATTTGTCAATTTTTTTTTAAAACTTGATTGTTTACATATTTTTTTACCATAAAAATGATTATAGCATCATATTGTTATCATATGTCCCTCAGAAGATCATACTGATTATAAATTAATTTTTTATTACAAGGGAAACACAAAAACTATTTTGTGTGACTAGGACTTTTTATAAAGTATTAAAACTATACATAACTACAACTTCCGATTTCCAAATTCTATGAAAAGATGGCGTTTGTTAAAAATTGAAAACCAGGTTGGTAACCCCATTTTTTCATTGGCTAATTTAAGATTTTACTTAGCCTAGGCTAAAGCGAAAATAAAATGTAAAGGAGATATTAATGGTAGTTAACAAGCTGCTTATTTTTAATTGGTTTTAAGATCAGCTTCAAAATAATAAATGGAACAACATCTAATTTACAGGACATTTGCAAAAATAGAGGCGGATATCTTGCAGAAATTGGATCCAAAGAGGAAAACGACTTTGTAAAGAAATTGGCAAAGAAGGTCAAGAATTTCTGTAAGCATTTTATTAATTTACAAGATTAGCGTTTAAAAAGCTGATGTCAGCCCTTTAGCAGTATTTTTATAATAGTTTTAGTGCAAAATCTGAAGTCTCTTTTTATATAAAAATAAGGAGATGTATACTTGTATCATTGCCAATAAAACAGCTATAATCCGCCGAGACCAAAGGATGAGGATGCATGTTTGCATCAAACAGTCTTAGCATCTTGTGCCCCTGACGGTGACCTGGTTAACCATTGTAAATTTATCATCAATATTATGGTTCTGACTTAATGATCTTATAATTGATTGATTTAGATTTTCTATATAGTATCGTTGATTTAAATGCATAAAGGCACAGCGGGAATACCAGCCATACTTGTTTTAAACTTCAAGATGTTCGCTACTCTTGTTTTTGATATTTTCCAGATCCTCTAGTTTTATCCATGTAGTGCCAATACAAAATTTACCCGCTAATCTATACTTTTCTTTTCATAGTTTTATTACATATAATAGTTTAATTAATTAAGGATGTTCTTAGGTCAGGTTTAGGAATGTTTGTCAGATGTTCGGACTCTTTGGTTTTTTTCCTACGATACAGGGTAAAATACTTTGCCCCATAACACCCATTTTTCTTTTCATAAAAGACTTCAATAGCTCATAAAAGGTCATTACCAAAATTTAAGCAGATTCTATATTTCTTTTCTTTCGATTTGAGACCCAAATAATAGCAACGCAAATATAAGGTAAAAGACCGAGTTAGCTTTTTCCCGCCATTTGAAAAAAAATAAATATCTCGAAAAGGAGCTCCATAACCTATCAATATTTTTAGCTTATTTTGTTTCTTAACTAATGCTCTTCTGACTTATGATATCAATTTTAAATTCTAGTTTTTTTTTTTTATTTCACTGGACTACATCCTTAAAAAGCCATTTTTGAAAATCTTATCAAATCCTTATTATTTTTTCATAGTTGTTGAAGAAAAAAAAGTTGCCAATGTTAAATTTAGGAAAATTCTTGAGATAATCATTTCCCGCAAAATTTTCAATTGATTATACTCCAAAAACAAGGACACAGACCTGTAATTTTTTTTCTACTTTTTAATACATGCAAACAACAAAAGGAAAATTCGAAGTTTAAAATACTCATTATTTCAAAACTGTGTGAGTCTTCCAAAATTCATTAACATTCTGTTACAACAGCCAAGACGATGATACACGAGTTGATTTCCGAGATAAATACCTCGAAGGTTCCTGACTCATTGAGTATTGATAGATTTTTTCAAACACTAGTGAGTTTCTCAGCTACAAGCTCATCAAAGGGTGAAAAACATCTTCTCTAATTTTTGTGCTATTTTCACATTTCTTGACCGGTGATAAATTTGTTCTCGGCAAATGATTGGTCGAAATTTAATTATGACGTCAAATTTTCTTGGTTTCTTCTGTATTTTCCTATTGTGACGTCATAAAAAAAAGGCGACCATGCCTGATGACGTCACATATAAAGAACACAATTTTCTGCAAATCTTTGAAAAGGAAGGATAAGAATCATTAGAGAAACAGATTCCACCACTATAACTTGTGTATTACGATATTTCTCCACTCTAAACAGTTAAATTTAAAGTATTTAAAAAGCTCGGCAAGCCTCGCGCTTTAAATATTAAAATTTAACTCTCTCGAGTGGAGAAATATCGTAACACACTTGTTGCAGTGGTGAAATCTATATTTCTTCAGTTGGAAAGCAACTCCTTAGAAACGTCCGTTGTCGTCCAGCTCTATCAGCAACAATAGCAGGGGGACATAATTAGGTGACGCCACAAAAATCGGCGACCACAAAAAGTCCGCGAAATCAATCGGCTAAAAAATCGATGTTTAAACTTATTTTTGAAATTGTCATGCTTTTATTATAATTGGTTTTTAAAGTTTGCAGGTTTTGTGAATAATATAACTTTAATACGACAAAGAAACATTGTCGAAAACCATTTTCATTTGCTATCACTTCATCGTGTCAGTTCTAATAATTATCAGCTATATTTTTTGTTCGCCAAAAACATCGAAATTAAATAACCACGTTTGCGTATCCAAATACGGAAAAGAACGTTAAACATCTTAAATTAAACCAGGTGACCTATTCTTAATTTCTTCATAATTAGGAAGCCTTCATTTTTTACTCTAATACAATAATTTCAGTGACTACCGGGTATGGCATTTTGTAGCTTGTTTCGGCAGCGTTACTCGTTTAAACTACTGAAGGTTCAGCGTATTTACGTTGTAGATGCTTTCAAAGTACTATAAAATACTGATTTTATTAGAGACATAGATGAATGATTAAAAAATGTTGATTTTTACAATTACATACGATAACTTCATTGTAAAGTAATAAAAACCCTTCACGATCCCCTACACACATCGCCGGTGACATTGTTTTCTCTTTTGAAAATACGTCATATAACGTTAACAAAATATGTGTCAGGGTCATATTGTGCATAGTGAAAATTTACACATTGGAAAAGTGAAACAAAGATCGTGTTTAATACCTTTGAAACTGTTCGTCTAAGAACATTTTATTTATACTGGCAACAACTCTGACAAATAATGGATGGACAAAAAACACAAGAAATGTAACTAAAACAAATTTGCCCTGCAATGCAAATTCTGGGGAAAAATATTTCAAAGAAGAAATGAAGGTCAGTTATATTTAAATATACCCAAAAGTGAAAACCCTTGCTTAGTGGATTTCTCTTTACTAAATAAGTTACAGTAATAAGTGAAGAAAACCTAACTTGTCAAGTCAAACATGAAATTGCATTCATAAAGATGTGACCATACAATAAAATTGTCAAATTTTCAATCATTCAATAAGTATAATGCACAAGATTTTCCACACCAACTGTTATGTCAAATGGTCCTTTTGTAATTTATGATATAAATATTCAATCATTAAGTTAAAATTATACAATACTTTGTTTATAAATATTTATACCAGGTGACACAGCAACTTCAAGGTTGCATTTTTGTAAATATTGGCAATGCAATTTTCCATAGGAACTCCTTTTACGGCTAAAACTGTACCACTTTTACTATGAAGTTTTGAACAAAATCTTATCCTAGAATTGAAAGTTCATATGCACTACAATTTTTTTCAAAGGTCAAAATATAGGGCTGTGCGGCATATTTTCAACGTTTATATGCCCTGAACTTTTCAGAGTTTAAACTAACACTAATTTTCTTAACTACCCCTACCTCGAATGAAGGGTTACCACGGATTTCAATGTAAACAATATGCACATGTATATTTACTGGTAACATTCCCAAGTTATGTCTCTATGAGATGAAACACAGAGAGCATAACTGGGAACCAGTATGTAAACAAAATTAATTTTCTATGAATATTCTAAATCTCCCCAAAAGAGGCGTGGTTTGAGAAACAGCTGTATTTACAAAGTGCAACCTATACAAACATTTATTCAAATAGGAAACTCTCTAAAATCAGTTTTTCTCACATTAATACTCATTTATCAGAATTATAGCCTGAAAGAAATCACTGTGTATACTCTAAGTTTTTTTTACTGAAAATTTTATACCCCTCCCCTGTTTCAATTTTTAAAAGAATTTGAAAACAAGACTTTAATTATTGCCAGCTTACCCTATTTGCATATTTTCAGATATAAAATGCCTAGAACCTGTAAAAACATATTGAAAGCATATCAGAATACTATAAATGTTATGTTTAGCAGTCAATCATTACAACATTCAAGATTATATAAAATATCCAATCCTGCCTCTGTCTCCAGTCCACATCTTACTGTATGCCTATTTGTCAATTAAAGTTCACATTTTCTACCTCAAATGGTCAATTTAGAATTCTTGTCACAACAGTATCATCTGTAACCATATATCTGACACAATTTACCTAATAAATATACTAGAAGTGTTCAAACAAAGCCATATTTGCAATAGTTGTATGTATGCAGATACCAGTCTGAGATATAAATTCACTTAAAATGTTATAGAGATGACTGCTAACATCTGATTTTTGCATAACTTCCAAGCATAGTTATTGTTTTCTATATCAAGAACTTAAAAATCATAAAATCATAGCATTTACAGGTAAAATTATCTGTTTTATGACCCAGGGGGTAGGCAATTTTCTATGTTTTTTGCCCCTGGGGTCTCAAATTTCCTAAATTATTCTGCTGTTTCTAGCAATTTGGAATATTTAGTACATATTCAGGATAGAACACACTATTGTAAGTTTTGTTGAGATATTTTTGTATTTCTAGCTTGTATTTTTTATGCCGTGGTGACAAAAAAGCAGATTTAGGTGTTACGGCTTACTTTTGGGTTAATGACAGGACACAAACACCCCATAAATAATATTCAGGAAGGATCGATGAGTTTCAATGACTGCGAAGAGTAAATATAAGCACTTCTCAACAATTTAACTTACAAACATGCAAATATTATGAATTAATTTTGTATTCAGGACTTTAAGTAAACTATGCATACTGTAAACTGTGAATTTATGCTGAGTCATCATATCTAAGGCCCAGGATTATATCAATCTTCATGAAATATTTATAAAACTTGATATTTGAGTTAATTTCTTTAAAATCTGTGAGATAAAGAAAATTTGGTTAAATTCTGAATGTTCTCTTTTTTCACCCTATATAGGTTGCATTTCTGTAAATATTGGCAATGCAATTTTCCATAGGAACTCCTTTTACGGCTAAAACTGTACCACTTTTACTATGAAGTTTTGAACAAAATCTTATCCTAGAATTGAAAGTTCATATGCACTACAATTTTTTTCAAAGGTCAAAATATAGGGCTGTGCGGCATATTTTCAACGTTTATATGCCCTGAACTTTTCAGAGTTTAAACTAACACTAATTTTCTTAACTACCCCTACCTCGAATGAAGGGTTACCACGGATTTCAATGTAAACAATATGCACATGTATATTTACTGGTAACATTCCCAAGTTATGTCTCTATGAGATGAAACACAGAGAGCATAACTGGGAACCAGTATGTAAACAAAATTAATTTTCTATGAATATTCTAAATCTCCCCAAAAGAGGCGTGGTTTGAGAAACAGCTGTATTTACAAAGTGCAACCTATAGAGTTGCAGCCTTAAATTTTTTTGAATTTTTCAAAAAGTTTACTTTCATAATTTATAAAATACTCAGAGAAATTTGACAAGGACTACTCTCCTAGCTAATTTTTAATTATGATCTTAAAATAAAAAATTACGTCACTTATTAGGCTATACTATCATTAAAGTATTTTTTTTTACAGATGTTCTATTGTTCAGTGACAATAAGTTATTCTGAAATATTTTTGGTATACTTATCCTTTTTCTATAGGATATATATTTTCTAGTATTAGGTAGTTCTTTACTGTTCAACTAAGAAATATAGAAGGAGCTATAGGGCTTAGAATGTAAAATTTAATGATCAAAAGTATTTCAGAAGGATTTAAATGTACACAATATGTTTTATTGCACTGAACATTGTTAAAAGTATTTTAAAAAATCTACCAAGAGTGATCCCATATCCCGCTATAAAGATTGTTGTGGAAATATCATCTGCCAGAACAAATTTAAATCAATTCAGCTAGTTTTCTAAGAGACATTTCTGATTTTTTTCCAATTTACTGTCTTTTAAGCTTGACCTCTAATTTTTCTTTGAAAAGGAGAGAGGAATTACTCTTGATAATATTATAACTGTATAGTTTGTAAATAGAATTTCATTTATTTTTCTTCTTGATTTTTGTGATTTAAGCTCCTTTTTATTATTTTGTTGTTTTTTTTTGTTTTTTTTTTGACAGCAAACACGTACTAGATAATATAGCGACAGTTATAGAAAATAAAGGAAGGAGTCACACATTGGCATGGCAACAAAAAAAGCAAATAGGACAGAAAAAAAAGAAAGCTGCTGACTTAGAACGTTATAATCTGTTTGACTGTTTAATGAAATAACGAACTTTATCAAAATTCTAGAGTTAGTTTCGTAATTATATGCATCTTTTCCAAACAATAGCGTTTCAATATCAATGTGTATGTTCATATTTATAAGATCATTATTCAGACTTTCGTTGGTTATAATATAATTGACATTCTAGAAAGTAATGGATGGCATCTTTAACAGGAGAACCGCAGGAGCATTTAGAAATCATTCACTACATTTATCTTATTTAAGTCTGCATTTAATGAACTGCACTGGTGCCTTAGTCTTGTATGCAGTATATTAAATTCTATAGGCCCTTCACCATAATATGTTGGAGGTCTAAATAGTTCATCCTTTATTTTTCGTTTAAATTGTCGGATAGTTGGTGCGTTTCTTATTGTTGGATTTAAATTATTTCATATTCTGACAGTCATTCGTAGTCTACATCTAGGGGGTATATAATTATCATTATTTCTTAGGTTGTATCCACTGACATCAGATGTAACTGGAGGTAGACAGTCGATTAGATATTGGGGACAAAAGGAGTAGGTTCACTAACTAGTGAAAATGGCCCCGTCCTAAACAATGTTTCTGTTGTGAATAAATAGTTGTATGTGATGTATGAAGCATGAAAACACATGAAATTAACAAATAAATCCATACATTTGCATTTTGGGGTAAATAATGAAAAAATCATTAAAAACCATTGATTTCTGGAAAATAATTTTTATTTTTTAAATATTCAATTTTGATAATTGGTTGTTAGTTAAAATTAACACAAACTAACATGTCTTAGTATTCAGACTCAATTTTTGGACTTATTTGGGAATTTAACCCTTTCATCCCCAACGATGCCTTGAGGCATCGCATGGCGCGCGCCCAACGATGCCTCTAGGCATCGCCTGTCGCGTGCCCAACGATGCCTTCAGGCATCGTAGAATTAATTCGACAATAAATGGACTGCACGAACCTAAAATGTTGCGTAAATGCATGTTGGGTCGAATAAACGATGTGCATGTTCAATCTTTCGTAATATCTACTTGATTAGGGCATAGATGCCGTTTGAAACGTTAAATAACCTGTTTGAAATACCGAAGCAGGTGCAAAAAAAATATCCTGTCTCGAAGTTTAATCAGAGTCAAAATTAAAAACAAATGTGAGTGTTTTCAATCTACCATGTGTTTCCCTGGTGCACTAAAGTCACAACGAGGATTCTTGGAACTCATTTGCATATTGTTATGATTTTATATTTTCACAAATGGTAACTAATAATACGTATATGTGTAATTAAAACATACAATACCGAGTATGTCTCGCATAGATCTTGATATTTTCTTCAATTTTTTAATAAATAAATATTCAACAACTCTTTTCTTATCAACTAGCATTGAGCGTTGGAATGTGTATTCACATTTCATTTTATTTATAACTCTGACCTTATATCGTCCAATTAAAACTCGGGGTTCCCTTCTTTATACATGTGATATGTCATGTGATTAAAAAATGTCGTCTGTAAACCAAAGAACAAAATTGAAATGTCCGATTCTTCAGACGAGGAATTCTTAGGTTTTGAAGACGATGAAATTCAACAGGCTGTTCAACGGTATTACTAGATCTAGGAATTGGGGGTGATTTTGAATTCAATACTTCAGGAAACGAGTCTGAGGGCTCAGAAACAGAACCGACCATTCCTATCTATAATGTCAATGACCAAGTAGTCCCAGATATAGACAATGTTGCAAACACCTGGCATCACAATTTTGATATTCATGAAAGGGGGTTACCTCATTTATTCACACCTAGAGGTCCAGATGGAAGGGCAACAGGCCCAGCTACCATTTTAGCTGCTGATAAGGGTCCAATAGATTTCTTCAAACTTTTCTTGAATGACATAATTTTTGAACATATAATTAATGAAACTGAAAGTTATGCCATCCAACAAATTGCTGAAAACCCAGACAGTAATAAATCTGCCTGGTCAAAACCTAGTTTGCCAGAAATTAAAGCTTTTATTGGTCTTTGCTTTTTGATGGGAATTGATGTTAAACCAGAAACCAAACTAAACTGGTCAACTGATCCCTTCATGGAATCTCCAATATTCCGTAAAACAATGCCCAGGAATAGATTTATGCAAGTCATGAGGTACCTTCATTTCAGTGACAACCATAATGCACAACAACCAGGTCATCCATCATATGATGTACTTTATAAAATAAGAAACATCTTGAATATGTTTAACACATCAATGAAAAGAGAATTTGTCCCTACACTAGAGAGGCCAGGCCTATTTATTTACAGGGAATATATTGTCATTTATGTATGTTATTGGATAAAGCTCCTTAAGACAAACATTTTGAGCTATTACTTGTCTTAATCGGATATATGGTTCAAAAGTTACGAGTGTTCAAAGTTTCCAATTCATCCCCCCTTTTTTATCCAAGATGGCCGCCATTTTATAGACATTGAAGTCCCTTTTGGAAGGTTAATATTGATCCACATTGACATATATCAACCACATACTGCTTGTTTTCTATTATAATAAAGTTCAGAGTTGTCCATGATATGCTCTCAAAAAATTTAACAGCCATACAAATTTCCATAAAGTGTTGTTTTCTGCCTTGCATAATGGGACACGATAACCATATAGCTCTATCAATTATCAAAAATGATGGTATGCATATAACATTATAGATTGATTTCACCCTGCAACTCATCACAAATGGTACAATTAGGAAAAATTGGACAAGTAGGTTGAAGGACATAAAAAAAAAATAAGGCTCAGTTTGCACTCCCAGCCTCTTTGACATTAAAATGATGAATGGCACCGAAGTCAATATTACAACAATAACTATTGTAGTGTCCAATGGTAGCACTAAAATGGAAATATCTCATAAACTACTAAAGATGTGTTCATGAAATTTTTCATGAGATTAAAACAGTTATCAATGCATGTGATGGTTATTTTTTTGTACCTTAAAGAGCGAGAAGGGCGGCCATTTTTAATCAAAATGGCCGCCAATTTCATAACTTTTGAATGAAATTTATACATTTTTTAGTCCTACTCTCATATTTCTTGACCGATTTTTGTAATGCTGGTATCAAATTGTTTGTCTTGATACAAGGTACCAATTTTTTATTGTATTGGGACAAACCAGCTCAAATTGGTAGCCATTTTGATTCAAAATGGCTCCCGTTTTCTAGATTTTCTATCCCGATTAAATGCTTTTTGTCATATTACTCTGTCATTTTTTGACTGATTTTTGCAATGCTGGTATCAAATTGTTTGTCTTAACACAAGGTACCAATTTTGGAATGAATTGTGACAATACAACTCAAAATGGTAGCCATTTTGATTCAAAATGGCTCCCATTTCGGAGTTTTTCTGTTTCGATTAAACATTTTTCATCAATACTCAGTCATTTCTCAACTGATTTTTGCAATGTTGGTATCAAATTGTTTGTTTTAATACAAGGTATCAGGTTTTGAATGAATTATGACAGTTGAACTCTCAATGGTGGCCATTTTGATCCAAAATGGCTCCCATTTGAAGGTAATCCCAAGTTTTTACCTCACGATCTATGTTTTATCTTCATTATTCTCTCATTTTTCAGCTGAGTTTTGTAATATTGGTATTCAACTAAATATCTTAACACAAGTTATCAAACTGGCAACAGGAATTGACTACCCATCCTGAGACTGAGTTCATTTGTAAAAAACAGGCACATGGCATATCAAATTATGCATTTACATGTTGTATATTTCATCCTGAATATGCTTGAAATATTTGCCACTGGATGTTACTGGAGCCAAATAATAAAATGTCATTATGTTATTGATTCATCGACTGAAACAAATTATGCCTGATACATGTGGTATTTGATGATTTCATAAAAAAAATTCCAGCATATAATGTATTTTATTTTTTAAACAGCTCTAATAAATTCACTACTAGCACTGTTATATGCCTGCATCATCATTTTCTTCATCAATAACACATCAGTTGGATAATTCTGTTGAAGTTGTACCATCAGTGCATCACTGAATCATTTGAAGTTGTACCACTACTGAGTCCGAGATTCCTCAAGGTTCTATTGATAGGTTACCATTCCATGACATTTTTCCAAATTTGCAATGCAATTGCTGGTCAAGCTTACATCTATGGGATCCAGACTAAAACATCACAAGAAAAAAAAACAAAGTTATTAATATGCTATACTTATTTATTAAGATAAAGTTTATATTAAATCATAGTAATATTAGCAGCAATAGTAAGAAATATATATGACTACTACACAGAAATTTGTGATATCTGTTTACATAAATATATGACATAGCATGTAAACACATGATTTCATAAACCCTAGACAAAATAGGTATTGTAATATTTCTTATATTCAGAACAAATAGTATCATAATTTGTTAAAACCCAAGTTCTTCCACCTGAATCTTTTGCGTTAACTTCGAAATCTGAACAGAAAATAAAAATATTTTCCACAACACTAATGTCATCTTTTTGTGGCCATTTAAACAAATTGCCCATATTTTGGGATGGACACAAAAATTTTACCTGAACCAGTAAATCATTTTTAACAGATAAAATTTGACCTGGATACCAGGTATCAATATATGCTACAGCTACATACTGTCCAGCTTTCAAAGCTATGGACTTTGGAGTATATGTTTCTGAAGGTTTGCTAACAACAAAATCAGTTTCTTCTACATTATCATGATTTTGACTCTGATAATTAGCTTTATTACTGTTTGATTTTCTTGGTTTTTTCTGTACTGGCTCACAGACTGAATGGTTCTGTTTAATTTTTATTTCATTGAGCTTTATACAAATGAGTTCTCTTTGTTTTTCCATAATTTGCTCCCTTTCTTCTTTTGATTTGATACAAAAAATAATACATGCATCTTTGGTTCCAGATTGTGCATTGTTCACATTAATATTCATATGTATAAGAACTTTCAAATTAGAAATAAGCTCTGCTAAAGAAAATGAAATATTATTAGAAGAAAATTGTAAAAGTGTTTTATCTTCAACACTCATGTGTAAAACTTTTTCCCTAAACTTAAGTTGAGTTTTTACCGCTTCAATCTTTTCATTTTGAGTTAAGTTAACTAAAAATTTATTAATGTCTTCAATATTTTGCCAAAGACCACCTATGTTCTGAATGTTTTTTGAAATTTTTTCAATTTCTTGCTGCTTTTGCAATTGTTTTTTTAATTTATCTGCCTCTCTTTTCTTAAGTAATAATAAATGTTGATTTTTTATTTCAATCTTTCTTTCTTTAAACTGTTTAATGATCTCTGGTGTACGTTGTCTTGCTATTTTAAAATATTCAGATTTTTTTTCATTTTCTAAATTATTCAACCACTTAACTGTTTTGTTGTTAGCAAACAAAATAATACCTTCCAGTGCAATTAAATTGGCATTTGGTTTTTCCCTTTGAAGCCGGTCTAAATTTGCAAAATCTCTTTCCGAAATAATATTGGTAGTAGCAACTGATTTGCTTTGTTCTCTTAAATTTATATCAATCCCATCAGTTTTTTCATTTAATATTCCTCCAGGAAGACAGTCACTTAACTGTCTCTCTAGAATTAACTGAAAGTTTAATAAAATAATTTGAAGAGCTTCAGTAGTAAGAATGTTGAGTTCTTCGTCTTCAACAGCAAATAAACAACCAAAAATTTCATCAATATTAGTATAGTTTTTATACAATATTTTTCCTTGGACTAAATCAGTAGCATCTTGAGAATAAATCTCTAAAAAACCTTTAAATTGTTCCCACACCTGATTTAAATCTAAGATATGATCTGCATTTTCTATAATACGCCACAAAGGACCAGTAAATAACTTATCAACTATTCCAAAAGCTCGACAACCAGCCAAATACATTGGATTTTTAACATAATTAGCAACAGCTTTTAATAAATTATTCCTATTCTCTTTTTCAAAATACAAATCAATAAATTCATAAATGTTATCTTTGTGAAAAAACACAGATGCACCCATAGCAAAAAGCAAATTAATACGATGACCGTGAAAAGTGGTCAACTTAAGATCAATGTTATTATCACTCAAAAATGTTCGAAACAATGAACCGTAACCAGACTTTTCATCAGCACCTGGTACACAAAGTTTGCAGCAAGCTCTAATAAAATCAGTTGTTGACTGATTATAAGTAAAATTAACATTATTATCTTCAACATTATCTAAATTCGAAATATTTTTTTCCCATTGTTTAAGGCCAATTTCTGCCTGGGAAGCAAAATTTACAATAACATGCAAATTACATTTAAAACCATTTAATTTAGCAACTTTTTTTCTAACTTCCTCCGGTGTATCCCCATCTTTCGGTATACACTCAAAACGCATTTTTTTCTAAACAATTTTTCAAACAGGTATTTACAATATGACGATCTGTCATTAAATTTTTGACTGACAAAAGTAGTTTTGCCTTCTTTACAGCTATATCCTCATCAGTTTCTAATAAACTACCCATATCACTTCAAATTTGGTCAATCATTTTTAAAAAGCTTTCGGTATTGCCACTCACAAGTTCCGAAATACCTAAAGAGAGTTGCCCGGAATCGGTACCAACTTGAAGCCCCCCAAATTCCCTACCCATACGCTTTGTCCCATCTGTATGTAACGTATTAAAATTACTATTTAACATAGCTTCTGCAGCTTGAATTTGAGCTAATGCCTTAGCTTCAACCATCATATATTCTGCAAAGGTTTTTTTGGGAAGCCTTTCTACTTTTAAACCTCCAAGTTTTTCTAAAACTGTTTTTATGACATTTTCTATGTTTTTCACGCCTACATTCATAGATAACAATGTAGCATACACCTCCCGTACATCATCTGTGTATTTACCTTCATGAAATGTAGTGACCATTTTTGATTGTGAAAGTTCTTCCAACTCATCTTTGAGAATAAAATTTTCATTTTCTAAATATGAAACTTTCTCTCTAAGTGAAGAAACCTCAATGTTTTCCTTGTTGCATGTTTTTTGTGTTAAATTTTGAGTGACTTTAGCTTTTTTCAAATTTCTATACTTGTCGCGGTAATATTTCAATAGTGATGATGTTTGTTTATGAATTTGTTTGCTTATTTCTGACTTCTGTTTTATTAATTTTTTTTCTGTAATGTGTTTGCTATTTTCTGACTGAAGAAACTGTATTTTCTTTTGCCTCCGCTTTAGCTTTTTATTTACATTTCTTGTAGAAAAGTTGGACAGTTTTATACAGCATGTAGCATATTTTTTATTCAGTTTCACATTGCTCTTCTTTAATTCATTTAATTTTAAATTTGCATTCATTCTTGCATGCCTAGCAATTTTCAATTTGTTTTCAAGATTTTGTACATTCTTTTTCAACATACATTTCTCTCCATCTACAGTGTTTAAACAAGGACGCCTTTGTTGAAGGCCTTCACCTTCATTTTTCCCTGTAGCATTATATTTGGTTTTGGGGGGTACATATATACTATCCAAGTACATGTCTTGATCTATTTTACTGTTTTTAGATAGAGCTAGCTGCCTTTTATAAAAACTTTCCATTTGTCTCCTCAAAAAACCGACATCAGGACAATAATCGAGACCCAACATTAATTTAATCCAAACAGAAAAATCTTTAAAAGTGAAATTGTGTCGGAGTCTGAGTTTTCGTAACTCTACAATTAAACCAATTGGTAAATTCAAAATACCTTCCAACTTAGAGGGGTTCTTTAACCATTGTAATGAAATACCATATTTCATACAATAGGGCCCTACTTCACTAAAATTTTCATTTCCAAAAACTACATCATAACCTAAAGTAACATCAATGCGTTTTAAAATCAGAGCCATTCTGTTTCTAATTTTTCTTACAAAAGATGACACAGAAGTAATTAAAATATCAAAGTTCTTAAAAGCTATTGGTAAGTTCTCTTTAATTGACATTTCTTCTTTTTCTTCAACAACTTTAATTTCCAAATTGGGATCTTTAATTTCTCTAACGACCAACCATCTGAAATAATAATCGTACCCAAAAATAAACAAGTATATTAAAAACTTTGCCAGTTAATCTGTTGCTGTCTCATGAACATATACCCCACATATGTGCCCATTTGTTAAACATTCTACTGTTTAAAATACCTCACCTATTATTTCATCAGGTACGTGTTACAAATATACCATGGTCTAAATTGTCATCGTCCAGCGATGGTGAAAATAATATGACATCATGATCATTGGTTGGTGATGGTAAGAGATAAGTATGGTTTCTATTTCTACGATGGTATGGCATTATCATATATTGACTTGTCAAGCAATGAGTTCACTCATATAGTTTCATCATCCAGCAATGCAACATCTATTAAAGGCTACATCATCCAAATTTGCTGACATTCTAGATGTTCGAACAATTAGAATATCCATTAAGCTGAAAAACACAAAGAAGGGACCACAAAGAAAAGGTTCTAATGCCATGGAACATGATTCATACATTTATTAAAATGATGCAGTATTATTTTTTTTAATGTTATGTAAAAATTAACATAAAAACACCCTGTTCAAGTGTGGATTGGATATCCGTTGCTAAATTTGAAACATATTTATGTAAGGAATTTCCTCTACCTAAAGATAAGTATATTAAAGTAACATGTGCATGATCTAGGTTTAAATTTTAGAAATTATCTTATAATCAGTGACAAGCTTCCAATAAACTATAAAAATAATTAGTATCTTTGCTAAAAAATGATCCAGAACCCTTTGTTTATTGACCTGACACTTAAGTCTCATTGAAACTTCCCTATTTCGGTTCCTTTTTCACGATAAACTTACATATATATCTATGCCCCACCCCCTATTGCCCCAATTTATTTGCTTTATCGTTATTCAAATTCTTTTATTTTCCTAATTTCTAAAGCTTAAAAAAAGTTAAAAGCATAAAATATGAGAACTAACCGGTATAATTCTCGTCCTTCAACAAAGCGACCACTGTTTCTCGATTAACGTTGAACTCCGACAGCCGTTTCCAACATTCCTGTTCACTGGACATTTTCACGTAGGCACTGTTATTACTCGACGCTGAAAAGAAATATGTTCCCGGTTAAATTTTAAGGAGAGATTTAGATCATTTTAAAGATAAAATATTGAAGATTAAAAATATCTCGGTCAAAAAAGTAAAATTCTTACTTAATCTGGTAAATTTTCGACTTGAACTTTTGTTATTGAAATTGCAAGGTCACAGAAACCGAAAGGTGAAATTTGACTGGTACCAAAAGGAAAAAGAAACCCTGCTCTTTCATTGGATAACAAAATTAGATCGATATGACGTCAGGAACATATTTCTATTTCAGTTTGAAGAGGGCTATCCCTGCTCGAAATGCGTGCCGCGGATGACGTTCTTTTGAAAAAACATCGCGAATTCGCCTGAAAATGAAAATTTATTACTACAAGTAATCAAAATATTTTATTATAATAGAAAACACAACCTTTCATCCTTCATTTTAACAATATAATGACACTTAGGATATACGGGAACAACAAGAAAATGATATTTCAATTTCTTTGAATATTAGTAAAATTGTCAACTGGAAAACAAAATGGCGGACAAAATAAACTATTCTGGTTTCTCTACCTACACGCCAGGTCTCAATAGACGAATGCATGATCCCCTTCAAAGGAAGGGTCAAATTCAAACAATATATGCCAGCCAAACCAACTAAATGGGGTATTAAGATATGGGCATTAGCAGATTCAAATACAGGATACATCTGCTATACAGATGTTTATACAGGAAAAACTGATAGACCGCAAGGCCAATTGGGTGAACATGTTGTAAAAAAATGTATAGAGGGGGCTGATATTGTTGGGCAGGGATATCATGTATATGTTGACAATTTCTTTTCTTCACCAAAACTATTCCAAGACCTGTTTGATAACTATCAAACTGCAGCATGTGGAACAGTCCGCAAAAACAGAAGCGGTTTACCAGCTGATTTCATGTTAAAACACCCTGTTGGTATTGATAATAGGGGGACATGAAGTTTTTTCAAAGGAAGTCGATCTCTGGAGTCTTATGGAAAGACAAAAATATTGTAACTGCAATTTCAACAATCCATGATCATTCCAGGTTTGAAGTACAGCGTTTGGTTCAAATAGATGGTCAATTTGATAAAGCAGATATACCATGTCCAAAAATCATAGTCGACTACACTAAATACATGGGAGGTGTTGACAAAGCAGACCAGTATATTCAGTACTACTGCTTTAACCAAAAAACCCAGAAGTGGTATAAACGGGTGTTCTTTAAATTTCTGGAAATTTTGAAATACAATGCATACAGGCTTTTCTTATTGAGTCCAAATCATCAAACCGTTGGAAACTCACCTGCTATGACATATCTCCAATTCTCACGTCAAATTGCCAGTAGTTTGATAGATGAGTACTGTGGCATTGGTACTAGAGGTCGTCAATCTGCAGCCCCAGTACCATCACGTCTTATAGAGAGACATATGCCAAACATTGTGGGGAAAAAGTCATGGTGTCATGTGTGTTGGATGAAGGTTTCCGCTGGTAAACAGGACAAGAGAAAGCAAACAATGTATGGCTGTCTTGAATGTGGTAAACACTTGTGCCTACCAGAGTGCTTTACAGCCTACCACACAATGGCAAAAATACTGTTAGCTATTAACTTGTTACTCTTTAAACTGTTTGTTTCTTCGTAGGAAAGTTCTTTGGATGTTTAGAGCGTTTGAGACATTTAGTGTTGACAATTTATTCTAATCATGGAGTTTTTACTTAAATTACTGTTAGAGAAAATTATTTGAACTTTTAAAACTGTGAGAATAATCAATTATCAAGTAAAACAGTCTGCTTTCAACCAGTGGTTATCTGCATAAAACAACTTTTCATGTTTTTGGGACTCCTTTCTTATTAAAGTAAGTAATTGTTTCACTTGTTCATAAAAGTTGACTTCTTATTTGACTTGTAGTTACATGTATTCCAGTTACTTTAAAATTTCGTTGTCAGCATGCTAAATCATTTAACGTTACATGTGCAGATCAGAGTACACATTTTTGTGTATTGATCCTTTCGTCTATAAATATCTCGGAAGTTTCCGGATTAAAACGAGGTTTGACAACATTACACAAATGGCTGAACGCTGATACATTCAATAAAATGATGGATAGATGATGAGAAAATATCTCGTTTTCTCTTTAAGTAATCGTTCTCTTGATTAAGGATGATCTTTTCTGAAGTGATTTATTAATAGGGAAAACAATAATATGCACAACTCGTGGACAATTAAGAATTATAAGTATTTCAAACTTTTTTAGCGAGCGCTTGTCCGTAAAACTTATTGTTTCGTTTTACTCGCATGGTAAAATGTACTTAAACAACTTTAATATTCTGAAATTTTGTTACTGACAAATGGGTTGACATGTTATTCAACCGTTTTCATTCCGTTTCCTGTCTTGTGACGGCTGCAACTGTCCTACACCCCCATATACTAAACATAAGCGAAAACGCGCACTTATCTGGAAATTAATTCGGGCCGGTAACGGTCTCGTGCAATATTTTATAATGTCATAGAAACGCATAGACCAGTTCAATCCGGTAAGGAAAGTGTTAATCTCATTTTTGGGGGAAAAGTTGAAAAAATCATAAAAAATCACAGATTTCTTGAAAATATTTTTATTTTCTTAAATATTGACTACTATGAATTCATTTCAAGTGAACATTATCAAAAAATTACCTGCCAAAAAATTGAGACACAATTTTTATATATATTGTGGTATTTAACTTCATTTTTGGGGATAAAGTTGAGAAAATATTCAAAAATCACTGATTTCTGGAAAATTATTTTAATTTTTTAAATATTTAATTTTGATAATTGGTTCTTAGTTAAAATAAACACAAACTAATATGTTTTAGTATTCAGACTCAATTTTTTGACATATTTGGGAATTTAATCTCATTTTTGGGGGAAAAGTTGAAAAAATCATAAAAAATCACAGATTTCTGGAAAATATTTTTATTTTCTTAAATATTGACTCCTATGAATTCATTTCAAGTGAAAAATTTGAAAAAAATTACCTGTCAAAAAATTGAGACACAATTTTCATACATATTGTGGTATTTAACTTCATTTTTGGGGAAGAAGTTGAGAAAATATTCAAGAATCACTGATTTCTGGAAAATTATTCAATTTTTTTAAATATTTAATTTTGATAATTGGTTGTTAGTTAAAATTAACACAAACTAACATGATTTAGTATTCAGACTCAATTTTTGGACTTATTTGGGAATTTAATCTCATTTTTGGGGGAAAAGTTGAAAAAATCATAAAAAATCACAGATTTCTGGAAAATATTTTTATTTTCTTAAATATTGACTACTATGAAATCATTTCAAGTGAACATTTTCAAAAAATTACCTGCCAAAAAATTGAGACACAATTTTCATACATATTGTGATATTTAACTTCATTTTTGGGGATAAAGTTGAGAAAATATTTAAAAATCACTGATTTCTGGAAAATTATTTAAATATTTTAAATATTTAATTTTGATAATTGATTGTTAGTTAAAATTAACTCAAACTAACAGGTCTTAGTATTCAGACTCAATTTTTGGACTTATATGGGAATTTAACCTCATTTTTGGGGGAAAATTTTAAAAAAAATCATAAAAAATCACTGATTTCGGGAAAATATCTATAATTTTTTTTATATATTGATTTTTCTGAATTAATTTTTGAGTAAATTTCATCAAAAAATAACCTGTCTGAAAACTAACGCTTAGTTCCATACAAGTTCTAGTTTTAACCTCATTTGGGGGGGGGGGGGGGGAAGTTAAAAAAAAATCATACAAAATCACATATTTCTGGAAAATATTATTTTTTAACTTTTTCAAATATTGAGTAATTGGATTTAATTTCTAGTTAACTTCAGATTCAGAATATTTAATCTATACAAAGTACTTCTTTGAGGACACATGACGACTCTGTATTCGTATCCTAAGTAGGTCAGTAGCATCCTTATGAAAACATATTTTGGAATCTCCTTCCATATATTCCTGAATGTAAGATGGAGAAAGCTTGAGTTGATAAACTCCACAAGTTAGTGACCTCAGTTGCTCATCAGTTAGTTGTGGAAATGGAATGTCACTGTCCTCTAATGGCTTCCACTGTGCTGTCCGTCTTTGCAGGTTGTTCTCCTCAACATATGCTTTCAAGGTATTAATCTACAAAAAAATGTAATTTCATTAATGTATATACATAAAGTTTAAATACTCATTTTGTAATTAGGGTACAAGACAAAAAAAGTATATCTAGTTATCTTGCTTATCAAAAGTTGTTAGATAAAGGAATGCATGTATCAATTAAGCTTTTGGTCAATGTTTATAAATATTGTCACATGATGCAAATGTAGTTAAAGTCATTGCCGCTTATTGTTAGCTTAAACTACACAAAATTTGAGTAAAAGTATTTTTCTAGACAATTTACAAACATATATTTTTTATGGATCATCAATAAATTTTGCTAAACTTTTACTCAAATTTTGTGTAGTTCAAGCTACAAAAATATTTTTTTGTCATGCATCCGATTTCACCTTGAGAGATGCACACGCCTGATGAAGCTAATTTGTTTAGCGAAATATTGCGTGAATAATATAAAATATAACAACTAATTTTATAACACTCATTAGTGTGTTAAAGTTACATTCTTATGCACTTATATATATATATATATATATATATATATATGATTGATTTAGGTAATGTGACTAAAGATATACATGTATATATATTATGCTCACAAAATCTTCAACATACTATATAAACAGAACATTTAAATAAAAATTGAATGTTATTGTTGCTAGAATAAAGATAATCCCTAAACATGCTTTATGAGGGTATGGATGTGGTGTCCTTCATTTCTGTGTTCTTTATTTTTTTGCTAATTTTATTTTCTTTAAAAATGGTGGTTATTCTGTATTCACTTGATTTCTGTATAATGCACCTTTTTTCTTCTGTTATCAGTATGTTTCAACCTGATTCTTTAATGTTTTGCATAGTTATTGCATATTCTTTATATTTTTGCAACCCGCTATTCTCTATTAAATATTATTTATATTTTTGACCTATTTTTCTCTACTCTTTATTCTTTTTATCCATTATTCTCTATTCTGTTAACCCCATCCGCACCCTCCTTTATCTGAAAGCATTGTTAAACATCACACGATCATGCTTATTTTTTTCTTATGTTACAATGTATGCTGTAACGCTATTGTATCAGATTAGAGGGACGTTATGATGTAACGCCACTGTCTCAGATAAGAGGAAGGCTCCGGTTCAACCAAATATGTTAAACCACACTGTATATATGTGTACCTGTCCCAAGTCAGTAGCCTGCATACAC